CTGAACAGTTCCCACATATAATAGATTCCGAAGATGTCCGAAATGTTTTGGTACCAGAGTTAGTACATGAGACTCGCGAATGACCGCTGCAAGCGCGAGCGAAATCAGAAGAGAGAGTCAAAGCACGTGACCACGCTTGTGTTGTGTGAAATTGTACAAGTGCGCGTTTTTGTAGTTTTTCGTATTTAAACAAAAAACGATCATGCAATTGATGAAATACGTAGTGTTATAATGGAAGTAAAATAAAGTTACAAAACGCCACACCCCCTATAGGAAATTATAATGCATACCAGGTGATGGTCCTTGAGAGGAATTTCAACTGATTCGGAATATAAAAAGAGCTAAAATTCCGATAGGATGGCAGTGAGAGTCTGAAGTGTGGAAACAAGGTTTCCCTACACCAGCTAAGTCCTTTCGGATGCACTCATTCTAAATCCTCACTTTGAAATACCCGAACTTTGCATTGCTGTCGAGGGTTGATTTGCATTGGTGTGTGTGGCCTCCGTATTCAATCGGTCCGCCTTCTAGGTGCGGAACTTTCGAAACTACCAGTCCACTCATGACGTCTGCTGGTTCAGGATATCAAACTAGTTCAAAAGTGTCGAGAAAAACACCACGAAATGATTGTGCCCTACCGTGGTATTCGGCCGATAGTTGGTCACGATTGGCTGTTGAGTCCAGACTTTCGACCAATCAGACCTGTGCTCGATGCAGAACCGGCAAGCGTCCCAAACGTTCGATTAATCTTGTGCGGGATAGGCTTCCCGGCTGTAGGAGCGCCTAGCTGCGGGCGGTAAAGCGGGATAACTGCGGAATTCCGCCTAACAGAGGGTCGACTTCTACGAGCGCGTGGTGCTTGGATGACTTATCATCTCGTTGCGGCAGAGCTGGGCCAGGAGTTGGTCAACGAAGATGACAACGACATTCCAAATTTTGAGCGACGTGCATATTGAAACAAACGTTCGTGTGGATTACAGTTAGTGACCGTGCATAACAACGATTGGAGGCTGTGTAGAGCATCAGGGAGGACTTATTTCCAACAGGAGGGCGAATGGCTTTGAGATTTCAGGGCTCAGCTTATTGTTTTCCAGAGAATACCGATGAGGCTTGACCGTTACACTGTGGATTATATGCTGATGTATGACTCACAGCAACACCTTTCTCCAGAAGGAAGCTATTGATCTCACACGTCGAGAACAATGAGCTTCTGTCGGAATGGATATAGGCTGGCATTCCGAACACACAATATTTGTGTGAGACAGCGTATCACAGTTGC